GAAGTCCAATGTAAGGATTTAACTTATGCCTGTGTGAAGATTTGAGGATACGGCGTATCATGTCACGTCCAGGATGTCCCAAACGGTCATTCCAAAGCAACAAAGTGTGATGTACAACCCACTCAGTAGACGTTCCAACATCTCGTGAATACGCTTCTGGCCATATTCATATGAAGTGATACAAAGAAATTCAGAACCATTATTTTTAGTGGTTTCAATATGATATTGATTATCTTAACTATCTCTAAAACTCAGCAACGTTCTTCCAGAACGTGGAGAATAGAGTGCCTCCTTAATTGTCAAGATTGTACCATTAAACAACATGATACGTGCATTTCCGTATCCTTCAATTAGGTTGGATGAGCTTAAGAGAGTTGTCAAATGAGCTTTCTTGGGTATTAAGTTAGTAAAATAGTGTTGTTCACGCAAGATGGGTGTGGTTACACTATCTGCCAAACAACTAACTTCCCCACTAAACATACCTAGAAATAAATTGATTGAATTGGTCACATGTATAAATATAAGTCCATTCATTCAATTAAGCAATTCGAGAAAATATCAAAACAAACCAAAACCAAACAAATTATTCCAAATACTTAGAAAAATTGTTCAAGATTAAACCATAAACCTAGAAAAATAGGGGGTAGGGCCGGCCACTCCTAATGGGTTTGGCCACTAGGGGTAAACACCCTAAAAACATGTCTAATTTATTCATCCATCGGCGCTGATGCCTCCTGAAAATTTGATATCTCCATTGATGTAGTTGCATCTTTCGGATGATCCACATGTGCAAAGTTAGACTCACGACGGGAATGATACTTGGCAATAGCCTCAAGGGAAGCTCGGCATACCCATGACCAATGATCCCTTAATCCACAACAATAACACATGTCCAGTTTAGTAGAACGGGATGAACGAGAGCTTTGCACTTGTTCTTGAAGTTTGGGGCCTTAGGGGCGAGTGGTGGACGTCGCTGGGTCACATTTCTTCCCTCAGGTGCAGCATGTTGTTGACCTTGGGCCCTTGGTTGGGCTTGCCAGCCATTGCCATGACCACAACGATTCTTTCGTCGTTTATAGTTGCTAGAATAAGTCGCATGTGCTTTAGGCACGGCGTTCGAGCTAGTTGGTCGAGCTTAATGATTCTTCATCAAAAGCTGGTTCTGCTTTTTAGCGAGAAGTAAAACAAAGATCAAATCCGAAAACTTGGTGAATTTTTGTGCCATATATTGTTGCTGCAAGACAATATTGGTGGCATGGAATATGGAATAGGTTTCCTCCAAGAGATCTGATTCGGTTAGTTCCACTTTGTAGAATTTCAACAGTGAACGAATTCTACAAACTTCAGAGTTATATTTATTCACAGACTTAAAGTCCTGGAAGCGAATATGCTGCCAGTCGTGTCTTGCTTCAGGCAAGTATATGTCTTTCTGATGATCGAAACTATCGGCCAGAGCAAACCAGAAGGTGTGTAGGTCCTCCTCAGAGAGATACTTAGTCTGTAGTGCATCATGGATGTGTCTTCGAATGAAGATCATTGTAGTAGCCTTTTGAGCTTGGTCAGCAGGTTCGTCAGCAATAGGTGCCTTGATGATGGCTCTAATGCCATTTGCAGTCAGATGGAGCTTCACGTCTTGAACCCACTTCAGATAGTTTCTTCCAAAACAGAGAAATCGAGCTTGTTTAAGTTTGACATGTCCCTAAAACAGAGGGAAAAACGTGAGTAGTCATATGGTAAGCCATATACATATATCGTAGAACATACAGGTTCTATAGACATGTATTGGTTTAATTTATGCATGAAAACTATAGGTTTCAAGTGATATGTTTTGAATGAAAACTTCTGGTTTCAAAGGCACTAAATTTCAAACTACAGGTTCAATTTAGTTTTATGAACAATTAGTTCATAATGAGAGGTTCCTATAAGAAACACAAAATGCAATATACTAATTTGAATATAGTGGATTTGAGGTTCTTCAAGAACTCAAGTGTGAGAGCTTCGTTACTACAAAAGTATGTAACGGTTCAAAGTATAAAAATAAATTATTGAATCGTTAATGTCCAAAAGTGATCTTCAGGTTAATAATTTTGGATTCATTATCAAATTAATGGACTGCATGTCACTTTTAATTAATTCAATAAATCATGCTATACTGGATCGATTGTAGAAGCTAAGTAATATTATTGGATCGAAAATATAGCTTAGCCCAAAGAATGGGTTTGGTGCCGTGAACAAAAAAGGGCTCGGGTGGCTGCGGGCCACAGGTTTAGGGAGAAACCCCAGTCGTAGCTAGGTTTCATTATGGGCCAAAGGGTAGGGCACGAGCAGGTCCAGTGCATTGCTGGCCTGAGGGTTTTGGGCGCAGGAATGCGGAGCACAGCCATAAAAGGGGCTGACTACATGTGTGTGGGCTGCAGAGACCAAGCCCAGCCTTGTGGGCTGGCGTGGAGGACACAGCTGTGACGCTGGCCAAGGTAACAAATAGGCTCGGGGCTTCAGGCCCTGTCTAGGTGAAGTCCAGGGCAAGGCCTAGTTCTTGCGTGCATACTGATGGTGTGTTAGGCGTGCCGCACCATGCCCATAGTGATTGTGCGGTGGTGTGCTGCACCATATCCCATTCTTTTTTTTTTCAAAAATCCCTTAGGGTTTAGGAAACCCTAAAATTGCTTCTAATTTAATTTTATACATTGACACACATATTCCACATAACAATTTAATTATGCGATGCATGAAACAAAAATATATATATCAAAAGAAAAATATAAACATAGAGTGGTTCATGCATCATGGGGAATGTTTTCATGCTTCATGGACGTTTCAAATATCTTCTTTTATTTTACCTAATTAGTAGAAAACGAATAAGCCTTTGAATTTGGTGGATGATAGCCTTCTCCTACTATTCGTAAATTCCTCAGGTTCTAGCAAGAGCGTGCTGATAATGTGTTGTAGGCCTATTTGATTGAACGATCTAGGGTTTAAAGAGAGAGAGGGGGCCGGCAATATTGAGGGAGAAGAAAGAGTGATTTAATTGTGAGGTGTGTTTGATTCACCCCATTATGCCCTTATTTATAGTAGTAGGATAGGTAAAACATTTAATAGGTAATCTACTCATAATAAGAATATAAGATACATTCTCATATCTATTAGGATTTACATAATCACATTCATATTCTAAATATGACTGCAACACATTTAGATATTTTATATAAGAATCTAATAAATCATTTTCACGTTTAAATCTTGCATAAAATTTATGTTATTGAGTGGTACAGATTATTATAACCAAACTCTAACTTGTATTCTATTCAAATGGAATTTTCTATTGTCAATTTTCAACAAAATTACCAGATAATACTTGTTTGTATTTTTTACGGACTGTACTTACTATATCCTAAATGTTACTAATTATGTTCATTATATACTATAATTTATTTTATCAATTTTAGAAGTTTCAATTCGTTCTGCAAGAGCCTTCCCCACCCACCCTAGTACGAGTATTTATCATTAATAGTAAAAATTTAACACCTAATTTCATTAATATTACTTTTTATAAAAACTTTCAAATATAACAGAAAATTCACGTGAATAGACCTAAATACTCTCAAAATTCAAAACCTATTCATACAGAAAAGCCAAAACATGAATAGATCTCCTCTACATCATTGTTCAAAGTGCGATGTTGTGAGGGGAGTTGGTAATATCAAACTTGTGCAAGTCAGTTTCTTATTAATTTGTAACTCATAGAACAGGGGGGGTAAGAATTCTGGTGGGAGTTGTAAGAAAGCAACTCGACCGCTCCAAAATTTGAGCTTTTCTTACTCCGAGAAGAATAAAATTGCAGAACATCATAAAGCAGATGGAAACTATTATCTTGTGTTCAAAATCGATGGTCATCCAACCATATATGATATATGGAAGAAATTCAAGAAAGTCAGGATCAAGGTTGCAATCATTGGTATCTTCCTAGCATACCCGATGTCTAGAAAGAATTGTCGTATCTCCATTTGTTGCAGTATTTGAAGCTAAATTGATTTATATTTCATCTAACCTCTTTTTCATCGACTTTTTCTCATAGGAAAAGTATGTAGTTATAAAGAGTGCATTTGAGAATTTTTTTTTTCTATTACATTACCAAATACATCTTTATGTTTATTTGGTTTTAATTTTAAAAGTATTTGTTGAGTTTTGGTTTCAATATTTGTTGTATATTTCATTATGAATGTTACAAGAGAGTGAAGACAACTCTTATAGAGAGCCAAAAGAAAGCTACAATAGATTGTAGGATAACTAGACAAACACAATCCTTAAAATCTGCCCTAACAAGTGGAAAAGCAAAAACCAAATTACAAGTAAAGAAGCTTTTACAAACAACTAAGAAAGGTTGATGTAAGGTAAATGACAAGCTATGGAAAGGTTGATGTAAGGTGAATGACAAGCTATGGAATGTGAGGTTGATGTAAGGTGAATGACAAGCTATAGAAAGTGACTTTAGCCTATGACTTAGCTAAAGTGAGGATGACAACTCATACATACAACTCATCCATACAAACCGGTTTCAATACACCCCATCAAGCTTGATCAAAGGGATTGATTGATCCAAGCTTGCACAACAAACGCTGAAACTGAGTAGAGTCTAGTGCTTTTGTGAATAAATCAGCAAGTTGATCGTGGTTGCGTGTGAACACGGTGTCTATCACCTTGGATTGAACTTGAGCACAAATATAATGGCAGTCAACTTCAATATGTTTAGTACTTTCATGGAATACTGGATTGGAGGCAATGTGCATGGCAGCTTGGTTATCATAATACAAGGACATAGGTGCCATGCTTGTGAATCCGAGCTCGGAAAGAAGACCTTTCAACCATATGAGTTCACAGGTTGTTGCTGCCATAGCCCTATACTTAGCTTCAGCACTAGATCGAGCAATAACAGTTTGTTTCTTGCTCTTCCAAGTGACAAGGTTCCCTCCAACAAATGTGCAAAAACTTATTGTGGATTTTCAATCAAAGGCATTTCCAGCCCAGTCAACATCTGTGTAGGCCAAAATGTGATTTGATCCATTGTTCTTCATAATTATCCCCATTCCTACTGAGCCCTTGAGATATCGAAGTATTCTCTTGACGATTTCCCAGTGAACTAAAGTACGAGAGTGCATGAACTGACTGGCTAGGCTAACTGAATATGAGATATCAGGCCTAATAATGGTGAGATAAACAAGTTTCCCAACCATTCGCTGATAAACACGAGGGTCCGAGAGAGGTTCACCTTTTTCATGCCACTGAAGTTTGCTAGCTAGGGGTGTCCGAGCTGGTTTACATTCCATCATGTTATCTTTATCTAGAAGATCGAGAACATACTTTCTTTTATTCAAGAATAATGCCTTTGAAGAGGTAACTAACTCAATTCCAAGAAAGTATTTCAAGGGCCCCAAGTCTTTAATGGAAAATTTTTGGTGAAGTGACTGTTTAACCGTCTTGATTTCACTTATATTGTCACCTGTAATAATTAGGTTGTCAACATATATAAGCACAACCAATTTGCCAGCAATACTACTTCGAACAAACAAAGAAGAGTCAGCATGACTCCTTTTGAACCCTGCAGCTTCAAGGACTAAACTAAGCTTCGAATACCAAGCTTGAGGGGACTATTTGAGACCATATATGGCTTTGTGAAGTCTGCAGACCTTGTTAGGTTCATTTTCTCTTGGATGACCAGGAGGTAACTTCATGTACACTTCTTCTTCAAAATCCCCATGAAGAAATGCATTCTTCACATCCATTTGGAATAAAGGCCATGCATTATTGACTGCCACAGACAACATTACCCTCACTGTGTTCATTTTGGCAACAGGAGCAAAGGTCTCCTTATAGTCAATGCTATAAGTTTGAGTAAAGCCTTGAGTTACTAATCGTGCCTTGTGTCTTTTAATGCTTCCATTAGAGTTAAATTTGGTCTTATATATCCACCTACTTCCCATGACCTTCTTGCCATTTAGAAGCTCCACCACACTCCATGTCTGGTTGTCATTCAGAGCTTGAAGCTCTTTAGTCATAGCATCTTGCCACTCAGGCATGGATGTGGCTTCATGAAAATTCCTTGGTTCGAAAGTGTGGGACACTTTGTTAAGGAAAGAAGTATGAGAAGATAAGAATATGTGATAAGAAATGGCTGCAGAGATAGGATGCCTTGCAGTGTAAATAACATACTCTTGTAACCTCACTGGTGGATGTCTATCTCGTGTAGGATTTCTTCTTGGTGCACTTATAGCTTGCTGATTTGGTTGAGCTTCTGATGGTTCAGAATAGCTTGGCACTGCATCAGTTATACTCTCAGTGAGTTGAGAATTATCAGGGCTGATATGAGCAGGATTAGCATTAGTCTCCAACCCTTTATGGAAATAAGGTGAATATTCATCAAATCGCACATTTCTAGAGACTTCCAGCTTCCCCGTGTTAGGGTTGTACACTTTGTAACCCTTTTGAGAACTGACGTATCCCATAAACACACATTTAACAGCTCGAGGGTCGAGTTTGTCACGATGGAGAGCTTGAATGTGCACATAACAAATACAACTAAAGGTCTTGAGGTGAGACAAGCTTTAGGCCTGCCCTTCATGACTTCAAAAGGAGATTTAGTATTCAACACACGAGTTAGCAGTTTATTAATGATGTACGTAGCAGTGAGTAAAGCTTGAGACCAAAATTTCTTAGGAACATTCATTTAGATCATAAATGATCGAGTCTTCTCCAATAAGTCTCGATTCTTTCTCTCTGCCACACCATTTTGTTATGGTGTACCAACACAGCTAGTTTGATGCAAAATGCCATGATTGCTCAAGTAATTACTCATGTTATTGGAAGTGTACTCGGTACCATTATCTGATCTTAACATACATAACTTAGATGAAAATTGATTGGTGATTAGGTTGTGAAAGTCCTTAAAAGCATCAAACAAATCACTTTTAAGTTTTAAAAGATACAACCAGGTTACTCTAGAATAGTCATAAATAAATGTTACATAATATCTATACCCATCAAAGGATTCTACAAGAGAAGGACCCCAAATATCAGAGTGAACAAGCTTAAAAAGTTTACTAGTTCTAGAATTAGAGGAAACAAAAGGAAGTCTAGTGGCTTTTGACATTTGACAAGTTTCACACTCCAGTGTGTTTTTACAAAAAAAGGGAAACAACTTAGTCATCACATGTTCTGAGGGATGGGCAAGGCGTTGATGCCAGAGTTGGTGTTCCTGAACTTGACTTAAGTTGACACTAAGCTTTTTGACAAATTGGACTCCTTTGAGAGATAGTAGAGTCCATTCAAGAAGAACCCTTCACCAATCTTCTTCTGAGTAACTCGGTCTTGAAACACAACATTGTGAGGGAAAAATATGGCAAGACAGTCTAAGGTTTTTGTGATTTTTCTTATTGATAAGAGCTGAAAAGGAAAAGAAGGTACATAGAGAGTAGTGGAATCAGTATGCTCACTTAGCAATCTAATCTTTCCTTTCCCTATAATAGGTTCCCCTTTCCTATTTGCAACAGATACATGAATAGGATCAATAGTTCTTTGAAAATCGTGGAGACTAGAGGGTTTATTAGTTATATGATTAGTGGCACCAGAGTCAATAATCCAAAAATCATGTGTAACATTTGCATTAAGAGCAGTGGAAATGGCACTGATAATACCTGGAATATTGCCTTTCGATGTGTTCTCCGAGTTAGCCAAGAATCCAGCAAATTTCCCTAGCATCGCAGTAGGGTTTTCAGGTGTCATTTCATCAGGTTCAGTGCTTCCTTGTTTCTTTTGAAGAAAAGCAACAAACTCGTTGATCAAGGACATAAGATTTATTGAGAAATTGGCCATCCCATTAGTTGAGGAACAAGATGAATGAAATGCTTTTGGAGTGACTCCACCTTTCCCATCTTTGATCATCCTGCCTTCCCTATCAAACTTAGGCTTTAACTCCGGATGAAGAATCCAACATTTTTCTTTCAAATGTCCTTTCATGTTGCAATAAGAACATTTCCAGTCTGCTTTCTTGCCAAGCACCCTATCACCAGTTGCTTTATGATTTGTCGTGAAAACCCTAGCTTCAGAGTTGGATTTGGGCTCAACGTTCATCATTTTTCGTCGACTCTCTGGACTGCATGACACACAGTGGTAAAAGAGGGCAGCTCTTGAGTCATTAACAAGTGACTACGCAGGTCTTCATACTCAGCTCCCAAGCTTGCTAAGAGTTGAAAAACCTTGTTTCATCAGCCCTCTTCAGTAGCACAGCGAAATCAGTCGTGTGTGGACAATACATATCGAGTTCATTCCACATGGATTTCATACTTCCAAGGTGTTGAACAAATGAGTGATCACCTTGCTTTAAACTAGCCACACTCTTCTTTAGTTGAAAGATGTGAACTGAGTTGTTTTGGCTACGATACATGTATTTGACAAACTCTCATATGAGAATGGAAGACTCTGAGTAGCTGAAAAGCTCATACAGTTTTGGCCCCATGGAGTTAAATAACCGGGACATGACCAGCTGATCAGTAGTATGCCATGCATCGTAAGTTGGTGAAGTGGATTCTGAGGGCTCAGAGCTTCCATTGATAAACCCTAGCTTCGATCTTCCTCCTAGAGCAAGTGACACAGCTCTTGACCAAGGAAGGTAGTTGAACTCGTTCAATAGCACTGAGCAGAGTCGTTGATTTGGATTGTTCTCAACCCCTTGGGTTAAGTTTGGGAAGGAGGATGAGGCACTGTCTGCACTAGACACATTTTCTTCTGCCATCTCTATCGATGATGAGCAAATGAAGAAGTAAAAAAACAGAACAAAGTCAGGACCTTATGGTTCCTGCTCTGATACCATGTTGAGTTTTGGTTTCAATATTTGTTGTATATTTCATTATGAATGTTACAAGAGAGCGAAGACAACTCTTATAGAGAGCCAAAAGAAAGCTACAATAGATTGTAAGATAACTACACAAACACAATCCCTAAAATCTGCTCTAACAAGTGGAAAAGCAAAAACCAAATTACAAGTAAAGAAGCTTTTACAAGCAACTAAGAAAAGTTGATGTAAGGTGAATGACAAGCTATGGAAAGTGAGGTTGATGTAAGGTGAATGACAAGTTATGGAAAGTGAGGTTGATGTAAAGTGAATGACAAGCTATGGAAAGTGACTTTAGCCTATGACTTAGCTAAAGTGAGGATGACAACTCATACATACAACTCATCCATACAAACCGGTTTCAATAGTATTTAAGTCTATTTATGATTTTTTGTTATTTTTGAAAGATATTATAAAAAGTGACAGTTATGAAATTGATTGTTAAATTTTGGCTATTATTATTAAAAACTCCCCCAGTACATTACTCATAGAGTCGTCTCTTTATTATTGAAGAACGTTTATTAACATCCTATTTTCTCATTAATTTTCTTTTAGACATTAAAAAATAAAAAATAAAAAATAAACCTTGTTTTTAGCTACACTTTTTGAAACTCAATTTTGGTCTCATTTTGCATCTTGAAATTGAAAAGTTGCCACTTTGCTTCTTGAAATTTGATTTCAATCTCATTTTATTCTCTGAAACTCAAAAGTAGCCATTTTGCTCTCTGAAACTCTCAAGTGACCACTTCATTCCCTGAAACTTAAATTTAATTCACTTTCACTTGTTTTTTATGCATTCCGTTAAACAACCGTTAAAGTTACTTATGTGGCGTAATAAGGCTCACGTATAATTGATGCAGCACAAGTATAAAGCTCACATATCCAATTGAATGATGCCACATAGATTGAAACCAAAAAAAAAAAACATACAAATTTGTTTTGGGGTAAAATAAAGGGGTTAAAAACCCTGAACAACATCCAAACAGACAAAACAAGATTTGGAGACCCCTAAGCAATCATCCATCAATAACGTACCAATCCACATAGGAGGCTCATGAAAAATGCATACCCCCAAATCCATATTATAGCTCCAGCTAGCTAAATAGTCTGCAATATAATTTTTTTTCTTGAAAAATATGAACCAGTTGATGGCATTCCAATTAGTCCATCATTATCCTACAACTGCTCAAGATTATATGTAAAGGATAGAATTCCTTTGCCATGTTTTGCTTAATTAGGTTGATAGCACACACTAAATCCATCTTAATAATAAATCTAGAAACACCTTTGTCCAAAGCAAGTTTAAGGCCAAAAAACAAGTTCCCATAACCTGTCCCTGCTCCAAATTAGCAGAAAATCCCCTTAGCCAGTCACCACAATGATCTCTAATAATGCCACTAGCCCCGATTTGTCCAAAGGTCATTCTTCTTGAACCATAAACATTTATTTTACACCAACCAATATCAGGAGGCTCCTAAGCAAGAAAGATCTGAACTTTGTTTAGTTTTATAGAATCTTTACAGGATGACCTTACCAATTCAGATGCCGCCCTAACAATAATGGCTTTAGGGTCTCTTGGCATACTAGAATTATTATCAAAGATATGTTGATTTTCCAACCTATAAAGAGGAATATAATGATCCGAACCTTAATATGCATCTTAAGATTGGCAAGCAACCAAGCTTGAATATTCAAGTCCGAGGAGTTTCACACTTGATAAGGCACACCAAGGAGATCCCAAATACATTTAGCCATCTGACAGTCCATGAGAATATGGATAATAGACTCAACATGATAAAAACAAGAATTGCATGAAGAATCAGAGGTTAAGCCCATCCTAGCTCATTGTTCATTAGAAAGCAACTTACTTTTACTAATCAGCCATAGGAAGGTTTTCAACTTAGGGGGCACATTAATCTTCCAAATAAAATCCCAGATATCCTCATGCCCAAACTCACTTTTATATAGGAGACTAGAAGCAGAGCTGACAGAGAAAACGCCATTCATAGTACCACTCCAAATATAAGTTTGTCTCGTCCCGCACCAAGGCTACCCCCAGGCCAACTAATAATTTTCTGCACCATTGTATAACATTCATCCCTTTCTCACTCAGTAACATTGTATAACCTTTTTCAACTTTAAAACTACTAGTTCTTATGTGGAAAAAAATTGATTTACCATTTAATGCGAGGAAAATTTAAGAGAACAAGTTTGGTTGTGTTTGGACCCAAAATGACATTTTTGGGCTGAGCCATAATTACTCTTGGCCCATTGTATGGGACATCAGGAATCTTAAATATTCCCAAGAAGAGCCTGGCCCAATGGAATTCAGTTGAGTCTTATCAGGAGACACTTTCATTGGGATAAAAGGAATGGTTGAGTCCTAGTATAACAAGGAATCCTTAGAGGCGAGTTATGCTTCAAATAAGAAAAGATGCAAGAATCAAGGGTTGAGTCTAGGTGATAATAAATCTAGGTTCAGAATCCTACATAAGTTAAGATTGGCCGAAGCCTATTCGGATTTGATCAAGGAGTTGTAGTCCGAGTGGAACTCTATTTCGCCCATGAGAAATTGCTACTATAAATAGAGAGGGGAGTGCATCATTCAAAGCCCTT